CCCACCGAGTACAGGTAATTAACGTATTGTGGTTTTAGATATAATTACATACTATTTAGGTTCTCGTTTGTTTGTCGATGTGGCTGTTTAGCGCAGTGTAATTGTGTTTATTTTGCTAATTTGTATTTTAAATATTAAATGTAAAGGAATGGAATACATATATATATATATATATCTTAACTCTTAGCTTGACATGCTCGACGTTCAGTTAGCATGTCAAGCTAAGAGCTAAGATATATGTATATATTTTAGCTTGACAGATGGAACAATGCATGTACTCGCATTTTTACAAGAATCTGATTTTGTGTAAGTTTTAAATATTCATTGAAGGTATCTTATCACATTTGAATGTTTAAAAAAAAAAAAAAATGTATTAGCTGCTATACTGACATGCACATATGTATAATTATATTATTATTTTAAGTGTGGTTTAAAGTTAAATGATATATAGTTATTGGGTAGAGCCAAGTAACCCAGGTGGATGCAATCAGGCCTCTGTTTTTAGATGGGGTTTGTGGCCATGCTGTAGGCCTGACATTTAAACCATAGACTGTATATATAAAGATTTAAACTAGTTGAGGGGCTTTCTGTTCGAACCACAGTGACATCTAGAGGTTGTTTTGTGCATAACATGTCAACCAAAAGGGTAGAGCTGGCTGAATCAGATGGAGTTAAACTTTTTTTTTTCAACAAGATATCAAGACACAAAATGTGCTCTACCAAATGGTGGCGCTGGCAGTTAAAGGGTTACCTTCTGAAAGTGAGGAAGTATGACCAGCTTTGTCCCATAGGATTATACAGGCCAGTCCATTGCTGCTTGTTTAAGGAGTTAACTATTTCCAATATTAAAGTCACTGAAATTGTATTCTATTTTATTCACCTATAGACAAACAACACAACACTCCGTGATGGAGCACGCCCAGAGCTCAACAAATTGGACTCGGACACCTTCCAGTGTACATTTTGTGAAAGGACCAGGTCATACCCTGGTCTGATGGCTCATTTGCAGAGCCACCAGAGGGCACTTGTGAAATATGGAGGTAAGTACATCTATAATTCTATATGATCATTGTATACTTCATCACATTACATTACATGTTACTTGTTAGATGTGTTTAATGCCTCACACATTATGGATACATGTGTTATTTCTGTGCCCCAGGACATCCTTGGTGTAAATTAATTTTGAATTATAAATTGAACATTAAAAATTAGATTTATATTCAGGTTATGAAGTGTTAATAATGCTGGAAAAGTATCCTTATTTGGGGTAGGCACAATATAAGCATAATCACACATTCAATCTGCAAAAATTCAGTTTATAGGCAAAAATATTATTGTTGGTGACATGATTATTTATTGCTCTCGCACAAACACCTTGTTTCAAATTATTCATATTTACAAGAAATTCATGTTGGTTTGTTTCTAGAATCCTCTAAACCACTTTCTGTCTCTTTTTAGGTTATAATGTTTATAAATGCCATCTCAAATGTGTGGCCAGCAGCCATTATCACTGTGGCTTTTGCCCAAGAATCATTGGGAGAAAGGAGATGTTTATTAGTCACTTTAAAAACTGCTGCACTGAACATCCAACTACGTTGGCGGCGGCCCCAGCAACCACAACGACTCCTCCAGTGATGGCCCCGACGGCCGCTCCAGTGATGGCTCCGGCTGCTGCAGCAACATGGCACAATATTTCCACAGCCCCCAACATTTTGATGTCAAAGCGCAAAACCACAACATGTTGTTTTTGTAGCCTACAACTAAAAAGGAAAATTTTTCACATGATGTTCTGTTCAATAAATGTTCATTGAGGAAAACGGTATCAGTGTCTTATTGTATATTCATCACAGTGAATGCTGAACTTGCCGGACCATATACTGTAGTTGAAAGTACACAATGAAACACTGGCTTGCTTGTATCAAATCAATACAATTCCCACATGCCCTACCCCGGAACCTGCGGTCTTCAGACTCTGGCCCCCCGCACCAACCTGCGATCCTTCGGGGACAGAGCCTTCAGTATGGCAGCCCCCACTCTCTGGAACGCTCTCCCTGCGGAGATCGGCAACATCCCCACGCTTGACGCCTTCAAAAGGGCCCTCAAGTCTGCCAAGGTCTTTGGCCCCAAATCTATTTGTTTTGTCTGTCTAACTGTTCGTCTGACTGCCTTTTGTTATGTTTGTTTCTACTCCTGTTCTTTTTAAAGCGACCTTGGGTCTAATGAAAGGCGCTATATAAATCCAAGTTATTATTAATACATCATTGGAAAGGTAAGAATCTCAGCTACAACACTGACTAAAGCCTTCCCATCTCCAGTATGCCTACATGACAAGCATTTTTATAATATACAGTAAACATATCTTTGACTTATTGCAAAATTATAAAATGAAATTCAACCCTGCTGTCATTCTGGCTTTGACTGTTCAAATGAGATGTCAACCATCAAAATGGGATAAGGGGTTCCAGAAATATCACTGTGCAAAACACACCGGCCAATTTTGACCGATAATAGTATGGGAAGGGGGGTATGACCGAACGCAAGAGAAGAGACAATCATCAAGCCAGATACCAAGGTATTTACAACAGGCAACCACTTCAATTACTTTTCCTTTATGTTATTGTTATTTGGTTTTATTAGTGCTTTTGTCGTTTTGAAGGAAATTAAAATACTGTATTGAGTTGGTTTCTTCTGTTTTGGAAGCCTTGTATATCTTTTTGGTCTTGTTAGAAATACCCCATGGTAAAACCGTGTTCTAGCAGCAGTTAAAGAAGCTTAGTTTGCTGTCTTAGACTGCCCGATGTATTAAGATGGTTTGTTCACAATTTACACATAAAACCTAAATGTTCATCTGTTTATTGTTCTTCTTCCTTTATATTCAAAGCATGTTGATTGTCTATTGGCTATATCTTGACATTATGTTAATTTGATCATACTTGCCATACATTTATTTTAATTGATGCGATTCCTTCAAAGGTTTTGTAATAGACCCCTAGTACTTTTAATTTATAAAGTAATAATACATGTGAATGATTGAGCTCATTAGTGGCCTGACTGGCCCTCCTAATTTGTTCCTTAATGACCCCATGATGTGATCTTAAAACCTTTAACAACTATATTTAGATGTTCACAAATATCTACATTTATGTATAAAATACATGTGTAGCAGTTAGACAAACATAATCAATAGATTATCTCATTAATACCTATTTTATATATTAAAAAAAAGTTTACTAAACCACCGTTTGTTGACAAAATGATTTGGGTTGAAAGTTATACTGTTGTGTCTCAAACGGATAGACTAGGTTATTAATTTATTTGCCTAATAGTTGCTTAAAATGCTACAATAACATTTGCAATTAGTTTTTAATCTGCCATGTACGATCTCAATAATAATAAGTGTTGTCAATTCGCTTTTAATCTGCCATGTACGGTAATGTCTCTCAGCCACCGTAGTGTCATGTCAGGTGGGCGTGTCGTGTAGTGGGCGTGTCGTGTACTGGACGCGGCCGCAGCTAGACCATATTGCAAATCAGGAGTAGACAGCCACGGCCATTGCCGTTTGAAAGCGCTGGAGACGCTGTAGTACATATTAGGGATGGGAATTTGAAAGCAAATGTATATTCAAATATTCGACCCCCCAAAAAACGGTTAACCGGTTAACCGAAATGTACATATCCTATAAAAATTTTGAATTTTTTTTTTTAAATAACTTTTGGAAATAAATAAATACATGTTCAAATAACTATAGAAACCAAGTCGAATTTGTCAAATGTATTGAACTGGTGATCACAGTTTGACAGCTATAGGCCTACAGCTTTCATGTGCGGAGGCGATTCACAATCAGGCCAGCTGTAGGGAAGACCCTCTCAGCTGGAACGGAGGTTGCGGGTATAGCAAGGTATAGTATGTATATATATATAAGTTTAATTTGGCATAGTTTGCACTCTACACCGCACTCACTAACCTGGTCGAAATATTTCCACACATTACTCCTTTTTGACGCCATGTCTGTTGTGTAGGACTCTTCTTAGAGTGTAAATAATTACCGGACTATGACTGGTAAAATATGTTGAATACCGGCAAAACTAAATCTCTCCTGTCAAAATGTCTATGTACTTTGCCGCCACACATGGTTGCCAAGCAGCGCTTATTGTTGTTTAGGCTGGCCACTCATGTGTCGCGAGTGTTGACAGGGGGCGGGGGAGCACGCTCATGAACTGTTAGCGCCGGAACCTCACAACGGCTGCGGAGCGCATTTGCGCCGCATTTGGGCCTAAGATGAGGTTTGAGTCTGCGTGATTTGTGTGTAGGGAGGGGCAGCAGCCATATCATTAGCTAGAACTAGCTAGATCTGATGGATTTGGACATAAACGCGAGTGAAGTACCGGACGCGAGAGAGAGAGATCAGCACCTGCAGCTCTGCCCGCTGTGAGGGACCGGTGAGCGGAGCAAAACACACCTTTAGACGTCACCTAACCAGTGACGTGCGGTGAGGTTCATGGCTGGTGAGGCACTGACTCTTTCAGAGTCAGATTTACAAATATTATATTTTGACCTTAATCGAAATATTCTGTTATTTTCAAAAGCTTTTTTAGTCTGATGCTTCGATTAATTTTAAACAGACCGTTCAACAAAAGGATACCCAAAATCTAAATATTGGATTGTTCTTTCTTAGTAAGATCCCATTTTCATTACAGTTGTGGTCTTACCTTGACTTGAAGATGAAGTCCATGCTATCCTTCTGGACAACAATCTCTATTACTGTTTTGTAAAAGTCCTCCTTATCTTCCTCTAGTTTCAAAAGTCTAGCTTGTTGTTTGCGTCTACCGTCTCTGCGTAGAATAACAGTAGCAACAAGAACCTGTGGGCTCACGTGCGCCCCCTTCAGTGCGGCAGAGGTTATGGCTGCCTCTCCTGGTGCTTTTTTCATTGCCGTTGTACGATGAGACCAGCGAGCCTAAATATCATATATACGTGAAATAAGTTATTTAGAGAATATGGATGGTGAGGATGAATGTAATAAACGGATCTACAAACATTACATTGGTGACTTACAGTGAGATGGTAACAGGCATGCGCTTAGTGCCCGCTTTCCAGCCAGTTTCTGTGGGGTGACGCATTCTGAGGTGAGGCAGATCTCATCTGTGCCTCACCTTACCCTACAGTAAATGGCTTGAGCGCGCTCACAAAATAAGTGGCCGCGCTAAATTAGTGCCCGCGCTCCAGCAAGTTACTGTGGGCTTACGTGAGGCAGAGCTCGTCCCTGCCTAACTTCTCATCGCTCCCGTAGCGGATCTCGGCAAATTTGCTGATTTTCACTATAAAAAGCGATTGGAATCATACAGAAATCACATTTACACAAGATCAGTGAGGCTCTGCCTCCCCTGCCTCCACTGACTGGACCTAACACATTTAGCTATGGCACTGTCGTATACATTGAATTATTCAATTTGATGATATGTAATCAACTTGGGAATCCCTCCCAATTTTTTTTTTTAAAATTAATAAAAATATTCATAACTCATATTCGAAAACCTGAATAATTATTCGAATACCTGAATAATTTCGAATATTCGATTAATCGTTCCCATCCCTAGTACATATGCCAGGCCAGTAGATGGTGCTGTTCTCACAGAATCTGCCCTTGCAAAAACAGAGCTAGAAATGGTCAAATTGAGCAAAATGAGGCATGGCTAAAATGCATGATCTGTTTGGTATTTTGAAAAAAAAGAAGTATAAATATGCCTTATATAGGTATGGTCCTACACTATATTATTCAAATATAGCATGAAAGGTCCACTTTAAGTTATAAGTTAGCAAAATATAGCTAAATTAGGCTTGATACATTAATATGCTTTAAGAAAAAAACAGCCTACATCCCAGCTCTCTATCGGGTTTCATTTATCTTGTTGGCAGCTCATCCCTTAAAAACAGAAGTCTCAGAGTGATTATAATAACATGAAATATGAAGGGTCTATTTCAAGCTTGTTATGTAAATAAGTTATTGGGCTTTTTTTCATCAACTAAGATTTGATAGAACATTTTATCAACATGAATTGACTGAATTTGTTTTAAAAGTGAGCTTAACAACACATGAATACTAGTGTGTAATATGGTTGTACATATATATATTTAAGAAGTACAATATGAGAAAAGCACGTTTCATTTGTGGGCCATATTTCATTATACTTTTTGAATTAGCTGAGGGCCGGCCCCCGGGCCGTAGTTTGGACACCCCTGGTTTAAAGTGTTAATTAAGAGTAAAGGGAACAGACCTGCTCTGTGTATCCGAAGCTGAGGCTGTAAAACAGCGTCCAGTAGTTTCTGGAGTCTCTTGTTCTCCTCTTTTGAACGAGACAGCTCCTCCTCGAGCTCTGCAATCGTTTTTTCAAACAGAGCAAATATCTCTTGAGCAGCAGCAGTGAGTCGCTGCTTCTTCAACGACAGCAGCATTTGGACTTTACTCATGTTTCCTAGATCACCTTTTCCTGCAAACTCCGTTAAACACACTGTTTCTTTCTCTCCATCAAACTCTCAATCTGACTAGTGTTGCCAACGTGTTTCCAGCTAGCATGCTAAGCTAGCTTGTATAGTCCGAGGTAAACACTCCAGAAAAAGGAGCACGCAGTCCATTCGGAGGTTTATCCAAACACACAGATGATGGATCAGTAGTGCTGGAGCTCACAAACGCTTTCTCTGGAACACAGAGAGAGAGAACCGTAGCGACGAGGCGCCACCTGGACCCAGTGTGACTACCCGATCTGAATCCCTGCCCGATTTGCAATGCGCATGTGCGAGATGGTCCGCCATATTGGACAACTACATACGGCACCCCAAATAGGACACTTGACATAGTGGCGTTTGGCAAAGCAGAAAAGAGAAACACAAAAAAAGATAATATTAATCTGAACGAGAGAGATGAATTATTGTTATTACAACGTGACTTCACTATTATTTAACAACTCCTTTAATTGGGTTAAGTACATTGTCAGAATAAGTGAGAAATGGATTTAACTTCTGTTAGACAGCTATCATACTGAATACATATTGTGAATGTATGCAAAAATGTATGGTATTCATAATTTATAACTAATTACATTAACTGTGAATGTCTTTCATTTTATTTCTAATTAAATAAAATTACATAAAACATTTTCCATAAAAAAGTTGATTCAAGAACAAATCTCTGTTATTAGATCAGTACTTTTCTTATATGACTATTATTGCTACATTAGAAAGGTCGTTACCAGCTTTGGAATTATTAATATATATATAGCAATGCAAATCGGGCAACCGTTTAAGTTTAAAACTTGCGCATGCGCAGTGCATACTCCGTGGAGTGACACTCGCAGCGCAACGAGGCTCCCCCAAAAGACATACATTTATCACATGAAATGATAGCGAATCCCGTGTGAAACATCAAATGGTTGTTCTACTCAGTGTGATTGACAGGAGAGATGATCAGAGGGGTAGAGTTTTTACCACCATCGTTAGGACAAGGACTAAAGTATGGGTAGAGTTTCTCTTTGAAGCAGCAGCCAGTGAAGGAGTAGATCAGAGCTGCAGCATCAACATCATAAAAGGAGACCAGACCCTCCTCATAATCCACAAACACACCCACCTTCTCATTTTCATTTTTCATTTCATTTCATTCTTTATTTCGAACAGATTAAAACAATAACAAATAACAAATGTGATAAACAGAATACCGTATTGTTAAAATACAGTATTTATCCACATTCACGATAATATTTATATATTCAACAAAAAAAAGTCTTCATATTAATAATAATAATAATAATTTTTTCAAAAATCATATGTGTCCGAAAGGGAGTAGGAGGAAGCAAATGCTTATTAATTCCCACCCCTTACTTGATCAATGATTTTCCTTTAAGTCATTATGCAAGTTATTCCTACTTACATTTACATTTATACATACATATACAATAATTTCTCATCTTCAATCACCTCTCTTCATTCTCATAGTTTTCGAAAAAAGTGTTTCTGTACATCCTTTTCAACTGAATTATGCTTGTGCTTTGTTTTAACTCCTGCTCCAAACCATTCCATAAAATCACCCCACAGATTGTTATACTCATACTTCTCTGAGTTGTTCTGACCTTGAGTTGTTTAAAATGTAGATTTCCTCTCAAATGATACCCACCCTCTCGGTCTATGAACAATGTTTTTAATTTCCTAGGAAGTAGATTATGTCTTGCTCTGTACATGATTTGTGCCGTTTTAAATTTAACCAGATCAGTGAACTTCAATATGTGTGACTTCAAAAATAATACATTAGTGTGTTCAAGATATCCAACATTATTGATAACTCTTATAGCCCTTTTTTGTAATGTGCATAACGGCTGTAGGTTGGTTTTGTACGTGTTTCCCCAAATCTCCACACAGTAAATCAGATATGGCAATATTAGTGTGTTATACAGAGTATACAATGAGTTGTAGTCCAGAATGTGTCTGGCTTTTCCCAATATTGCGATAGTCTTAGCCAGTTTTGCTTTTACATGAGTGATATGAGGTTTCCAGCTGATTTTGTGGTCTAAAACCACACCAAGGAACTTAATTTCACATACTCTTTCTATGTTTATGTTATCTAGTATTAATTGCACCTGTGGATTTGTTTTATGTTTTCCAAATAACATAATCTTTGTTTTGCTTATATTTAATGATAATTTGTTTGTGTCAAACCAATGTTTTACTTTAATCATTTCTGCTGTTATCACTTCCATTAACTCTTTCAAATTGTCACCGGAACAAAAAATATTAGTGTCATCTGCAAATAAAATAAATTTCAATATATTTGATACTCTGCAAATGTCGTTGATGTATATTATGAACAGCTTTGGACCCAACACGGACCCCTGAGGTACTCCACAAGTTATGTTCATGTTTTCTGATTTATGTTCACCAATTTCAACAAATTGTTGTCTGTTGCTTAAATAATCTCTCACCCAGTCTAATCCCACCCCTCTGATGCCATACCGTTCCAGTTTTGTCAGTAAAATATTGTGATCTATGGTGTCAAATGCTTTTTGTAAGTCTATAAATATTCCCACTGCTTCTTTTTTATTGTCCATGCAGTTTGCTATTTCCTCACTTAATTCCATTAGTGCCATAGATGTTGACAGCTAAGGGGGTTGTCGACCCTCCGCTTCGCGTCGGGCCGAACCACGCCCCTTAGCTGTGATATAATGAGCATATACCACGGCCTGTCGTGAGCTATTGCTTAAGTATATCTCGAGCCGGTTTCTCAAACTTACCTACCCTACCTTTAAAATAGGGAACATGTTCTTAGATATAAATACCTAATTTTGAGTTATTTAGACACAATTAACACTTATAGTTTCATGTCTTGTTACATAAGAATAGATCATATTTGTTAATATATGGGAGAATTACTATTCTTGTGGTACTACTGCCTTATTAAGCCCATATTGAGCAGAGCATATTAAGACCAAAACTCATGAACAACAACTTCCTTACTTGCAATAAATAAGCACTAATTAGAGGGTTATTGAGGAAAAACTCTCAACTAATGGCTTATTTCTTGTAAAATATGGTCATGTAGAATAAGGCATTAATAAGTGTTTTATAATGACTAATAAAGAGCCAATATACAGCTAATATGCATGTGAATTAACAACTAGTTGATGGTGAATTTGTGTACCTTAATATAAAGTGTTACCTAGTTTTATTTCAATCAAATGATCACTAAACTTTCAATGAGGTGGCCCACAACACATACACATTGTAGTTGTCCTTGAATTTTTGGCTGCAATCTGCAGGTATTCAGCGTCTGGTTCACACAGCTTATCATGCAGTCCAGTTCTGGACTTTGCTGCCAGTAAAATAAACTTAGATGTGCAATTTAGCTGTGATATCTTTATGAGATCACCAACTCAGAAAATGATGACATTGGTGATGACATTGGTGATTTCCAATCCAACTAACATTTGTTTTCCAGGGAAGAAAGAGTTGGATCCTAATTCTTAAACTCACACAAGTTCATGGACAGTTTGCAGGAATCTCTCATTTCATGCCCCATGGCGACCTCAGTTAGAAACTTCTCCTGTCTACGGCCCTGAAAAGTAATTTCTCTCAGAGTAGAGCTCAGGTTTTGAGTTCATACCGGTTATTAACATACAGTGACAATGATCAGTTGCACCATCTTACAAAGAAAGACATCAGTCCCTACAGAAACAGTGAAGTCAAGAAAAAAACATTTGGGAATTCAAGGCCACTCAATAAATTGTGTAACCGCTGTTAAACTATAATTGTATGGTTTTACAGGAAATACAAGATCAAATCTGACACTGTAGTGCAGAAAGTCCAAAGGGAAAGTCAGATAACTCTTATTCCTTATATATGTATGTGGTAAAACAAAGTCACTTATTCAAATGTTAGACCATCATAAGTTATTCTTTAACTACAGACAATAAAGGTCAGGGGAAAGTTTGTACATGTTAACCTAATATTAGCTGACGACGTTCTGTCTAATTTTAACTAACCAGAGTTTAGTAACTGTATTGTATTCCCAGCTAAATATTCTTGTTATCCAAAATGAATTAATTTCATGGCATAACATTTTTCTGAATAGTAAAACAGGTGTCAAAGATTCGTTTTTAACTAAATGTTGACTGATATTTAGATGGTGTTCTTGTCTCTATAGGGCAGCGTACTCACAGATTTCTGGAACATTCTGTGTCGTTGAGGATCCAGTTTCTTTAGAGAGAGACAGAGAGTCGTGTCTCACCTGCAGCTCTGCTCTCACCCACACAAACTTTACCTTTGATTGTAGGAAATGTGATGTCTCAACTTTCTGTGTGGCTCCACCTCTCAGTGTAGCTCTGGGATGGAGCTTTTACTGACTCGTTGCAACACACACACACACACACACACACACACACACACACACACACACACACACACACACACACACACACACACACACACACACACACACACACACACACACACACACACACACACACACACACGTAGTTTGTTATAAACCCCAGAGGGCCGGCATGAGTTTATTGGAGTGTGTATCTCTCTCTTAGTGTTTTTGTTGAGTATTTGTACTGATCAAATAGCTTAGATCGGAGGCCTGTACTACGAAGCTGGTTCATCCTAACCTGGATATGTTTGAGTTAGCCGGTTGGCCCAATCCAAAACATACGCGCTCTCGCTAAACTGTACTACGACGCTGGTTATCAAGTGGATCGCTCAAGCCAGCCGTGTCCTATCTAGTTAGGTGCGCGTTCACATGAAAGGGGTGGTATCTGGAGCATTCGACCAATCTCAAACATGGACAAGCGTACTGACAGCGCAGCGTCATACTTCCTGAATGAAAAGTGAACTTTAATATTAGTCAAATATGAAGAAGTTAAACTTTAAACATCCATGACTTAAACACTTTATCCAGGATAAAAGCCACATAGCTGCACCTGCAAGGTGAATACAGCTGGTAAAAGAAAAAGTGTTTGAATGCGTACATTAACAGGTTTATGATATCACTGCCCCGTCCAAGACACGAGTGGATCTGACTTTAATTACATTTGACTCGAGTGTTTCGTCAATTTAATGTGTTGCTTAAAATAATACTTCTGCATACAGTATGTGACACTGTGAGTGTTGCACGGCCAGATACGGCTCAAGAAGCTGACTCAAATAAGGAAATATATGATACATTATGATGTGATATGATATGAATGATAATGGGACACATCGACGTCTGCACTCACAGTGCCGCAGACTGTACTTAATGTTACTCTGATCCGGTTACTTATGTTGTGGCAGATATTTAAGTAAGCTTTCTTAATGCTAATGTTATAATAGTCAGATTGCTCTGAAGATGGGAGGGGATATTCTATTAATTTTCACTTTCACACAGTCAGTTGATTTTTGCCGGCCGTCTTTCCTGCAACGGCAGTTTTTCTGTATTTCCTCTATCCTGTAATATGACTTGATCGCTTTAAACTCCGCACACGGAGCTCTGATTGGTCAGCAGGCGGTGCTTTCACTGAGTTTATCTCTTAGCCTGCAACCTAACCTCCTCACGAGGAGGTTAGCCGCTCAGCATAAGTTACCATGGAGAGCAGAAGTCAAATCTGTTACAAAAGTTGTTATCAAGCAACAATGGCAAAAACTATGGGACAGTAACACCAAAGGAAGACATTTATATCAGATACAAAGGGAAGTAGGAACGGGAAGCACTTGGGGGAGTAGTAGAAGAGAACAGAGCATTAACAGCAGGATAAAATTGGGTCACTCTGGATTAAACTCAACAATGCATCTGATTGGAAAACATCCAAATGGCAATTGTGATGGTTGCCAAAAACCAGAGACAATACATCATGTATTTTTTAGCTGCCCGGATTATAACAGACAAAGACTCATTCTGAAAACTGCACTGGAACAACATAACATCAAGGACATGGATTTCAAGTCAATATACGAAAGCAAATCAAGAAATGAAGCAAACAAGTTGATCTTCAAATTCCTCAAAAGCACTGGTCTGAGGACAAGGATTTAATATAAACATTTAATAAATCAACAGTAGGTGGCGATATATGCTCCAAGTGGAAGCGATTCGCCATTAAAGAGAAGAAGAAGAAGAAAAGCACACCGTGGTCGATTGACGAGGTTACGACGTTCCTCCAGCTGATAGCAGATGACAAAATCCAGCGGGAGCTCGACGGCACAACTCGCAACCTCAACGTTTTTCAGGAGGTCTCTGCACTGTTGTCCGGACGCGGATACGCAAGGACTTTCCAGCAGTGTAGGGACAAACTGAAAAAGCTTAAGAGTGAGTATAGAGCCGTCAAGGACCACAACGGCCGGAGTGGTTCAGATAGGAGAAGCTGGAAGTGGTTCGACCTGATGGACGCTATTTATGGCCATAGACCGGCCAACGTTGGGAGGGAGGGAGGCCTGGACTCTGCAACCGCGTTGCTGGAGTCCCTGCATGGTAAGTCTTTGCTAACGCTCTGTTATTTGCTTGAAAGCGTTGTGTCCCTATCTATTATAAAGCTCACTTCTAACAAACAAGTCTATTTTATCCTTACATTTAAGTTCTACAACCCATGCTTTTATGGATCCCCGAAGAGCTACATAGCTAGCTAAGGCAGATAGCATTAGCTAGAGCTATTGTTTGCTACCACCACATGTGCCATTGTTTACGTTCAGTTTTTCTTTTCTACAGTTGTTGTTGTTGTTGCTATTTAGTATTGTGCTGCAGTAGTTTGTGGAATTAACAAGTCATGTTGCTGTTCTAGATGATGCCATAGATGAAACTAGTGAGGAGGAACAGTCCCGAACAACGGGTGATCCGTCCTCGTCATCGAATCCAGAAGGGACCCCAACTCGACCACAGACACCAGCCGAACAACCGACACCAACTCAACCACCAACGCCGAGTGCCATCACGACACCGCAGCGTGTGGTTCTAGGTAAGAAATAGGCATGGCAAAACGACTGCAATTGTGACTTTTTTTCATCCATCGTCAGTAAGTAAAATAAGCTATACCACTGTGTGGAAGTGCTCTGTTACAAGTAAGTAACTAGCTAGTAAGCAGCTAGTACAATTGTGTGTGACATCCTATTATATACATATATTTATATTCATTATCAACAGGCTGGACATAATGTAATTCACTTTCACAATCATTGTAAACATCTCAAATCAAATCAGGTTTTATTTATATAGCACATTTAAAAGCGATTTTTGGTCGAGCCAAAGTGCTGTACATGTAATAAAAACACATTACTACAAATCACAATAAACGACAATAAATTACAACAGATATATCTTAAAAACAAAATAAAAATAAAACACACGGAAAAGTCAGGAGTCGTGCTCCGCTCTAACTAGAAAGCCAGAGAGAAGAAGTGTGATTTTAGTTTAGATTTAAAAACCCCTAGGGTCTGGGCCGACCTCACATGGAGGGGCAGAGTGTTCCAGAGCCTAGGGCCAGCTGCTGCGAAGGCTCGGTGCCCTCGGGTTTTTAGCCTGGTCTTGGGCACTACCAGCAGCAGCTGGTCAGCAGACCTTAAAGCTCTGGCTGGGGTGTAGCGCTGGAGCAGTTCAGCTATATAGGCCGGAGCCAGCCCATTTAGTGCTTTAAAAACAAATAAAAGGATTTTAAAATCAATTCTGAACCGAACTGGAAGCCAGTGTAGTGAGGCCAGAATAGGGGTGATGTGGTCACGCTTTTTGTGGCCAGTCAGCAAACGTGCAGCTGCGTTTTGGACTAGCTGCAGACGTTTAATTGAGGCCTGGTCCATACCCACATACAGAGCGTTACAATAGTCCAGTCTCGAGGTTACAAAGGCGTTAATAACCCTTTCTAAGTCATTAAAAGATAAATATGACTTGGTTTTGGCCAATAGTCTTATTTTAAAAAAAAAGCAGGATTTTACTACGGTGCTGACCTGCTTGTCGAATTTAAAAGTGCTAGTGAAGGTCACTCCAAGGTTCATGACCGAGGGGAGGATGTTCTTTTTGATAGAGCCCAGAATATCAACCGGAGAGGCTGGAGGTTGCGGTCCAAAAAAGATGACCTCAGTCTTGCTCTCGTTGAGGTTGAGAACGTTTTTGCCCAGCCAGGATTTTATCTCTGTTAAGCAGTCCATCAACTGCTGTAGTGAGTGCTAGGGCATAACTGTCTTTAGTTCATCCTTACTGTAGTTCTGCTTATACATTTTATTCTTATATCCTTGTGTGACCTGTACCTGTCCTGTGTTTTTCATTCTTATTGCTAATTCTTATTGCTATAATTATCTTATCATCATACAGGCAAGAGGAAACGAGGAGGAGACGAGCACCTAGCACAGGAGGAACGGCACCATGAACGGAACCTGGCCCAGGTGGATCGGCACTGGCAGCTGACCATGGAGGATACTGCCCGGGCAAGGCAGGAGGAAATGGCCTTGAGAAGGGAGGAGAACGCTCAAACTCAGGCATTTAACTTAGCCTTCCTGCGCACTCTTGGCCAGGTTGTGGACAGCCTACGTGGCCCGTCTCTTCAGGAAGACGAACCACCTCTGTAATTCCCACATTAGTACAGTACTTTCTTGTTTATGTCTTATCTTTCTTTTTTGTTTTTATAATGCCATGCCTTTTTATGCTGCAGCAACACATATTTTTGTTTTTTTGTACAATGCCATGCCTTTTTATGCTGCAACTAAAACACTTCCCAAATTGGGATTCAATAAAGTACTTCTCATCTTATCTCTTGTTGATAAATGCATCATCTGATTTCCTGCCATAATCTGATTAACAAACTGATTTTCGTGAGCATGTAAACAAAGTCACTGGGTTGCCACTCACACACAAACACACAGTTTTGGAATCCAATCATAAACTGAAATGAAATGTACACGTTTCATTAAAGGGCTTTAAATCAGCAGAACAAAAACACTGAGAATTGTGTCGTAGTCCAACGTTTAAAACAAATTCAGATTCACATAATTTTGAGGCAGAAGTTATAGGCCTATATTTGTTCTAAATAATAATAAAAATAGGCTACTAATAACATTTATGCGGATCTAACATGGTACATGAATTTATAAAGCAATAAGAAACACCAGTTAGGAAAAAGCCCATAAGATAAAAAGTGAATTTTAAAGCAAGAAATAGTTTGCTAGCTTGAGGTCCTCCTCTAAAACATTGTTTGGTAACTGACACATCATTACTTAAAGTCAAAGACTACCTTTTATAAATAAACTGGAAGGGGGTATTTCGAAAAAAAACAGAAAGAGGAGGATAAGAGATCATTTGTATTTATGTTTATAGTTTACTTGGATATTTGCTTAATTTATTAGAGATTTTCTTTTCAGGATCTGATATTTGCTCAAAAGGTTCTTATTATGGGGCAGTACTTACTGGTACTTGAAATTCAAATATTTACTAAATAGTCAATTCTGATAACATTTTTTGGTTTAAATCATTTGACAAACACATGTGAAAGAGAAAAAAATATTTATTTATGTTCAACACAATGTAGTAATAATAAACACAAAACAAAATGTCACTACCCTTAATGGCCCACAATCTTTCAATTGCTATTCAGGTAGCGCATCAAACCCTCTCTTATTTCAGTGACCCCCTCCTCTGCACCTTGTGCCACTGCTGCTGCTGGTGCATCCCATTCATCATCATAGGCCTCTTCATGACTCTCGCAGAGGTTATGCAGAGCACAGCATGTCAGCACCATAGATTTCACAAGTTTGACATCACAGTCATTTCTTTTCATGAGGCAACGCCACCTTCCCTTCAGTCTACCAAAAGCATTTTCGACCACTACCCGTGCTCTGCAAATGTTCTTGTTGTAGATCACATGTTCTGCTGTCAGCTGTCTATTGTCAGGGAACGTTTTCATGAGCCAGTTTTGCAAGGGATAGGCATTGTCTCCCAGGATGTAATAGCCAGCATTCACCCCACCAATGTTCCTGGTGCAAGGTGGAAAGTAGTTGCCTCGACTGGCCAACTCCCACAATGAGGACAGCCTCAAAACCCGAGCATCATGCAAGCTCCCAGGCATTCCTGCAAACACATTCCAGAAATGTCCCTTTCCATCTACAACTCCTTGAAGGATGATGGAGTGCCAGCCTTTACGGTTGAAATAGTCGCAGTGGTATTCCTGTGGTGCCAAGATGGGTATGTGTGATCCATCAATAGCACCTACACACTGTGGGAGCCCCCACCTGTTCTCAGTGTAGCCGGCCATTTCTGCAAACTTCTCCCGGTCTGGTGAACAAATTAGTTCCGGTACTAACAACGTCTCTGCAGCAGCACAGAAGTCTTGCACACACCGGCACACAGTTGTGTTGCTCACTCCGAAAAGATGTCCAATGCTTCTGTACTCTGAGCCGGTCGCAAGCTTCCACAGTGCGATGGCCACCCTCTTCTTTAGAGGTATACACTTGCGGAATGCTGTGTCCTGTCTCTCCATCGCTGGCCGCAGTTTGTTGCACAGGTAGACGTAGGTTTCCTCTGACATCCTGAAGTTCTCGACCAACTGAGTGTCTGTGAAAGATGGAACAATCACACCCCACCACTCGGTAGCTCGGTCGAGCATCCAAACACATGGTCTGCGGCGGCGACCTAACTTCTGAAATACACAAACAAAAGCATACATATTTTAATACGTAAAAGTGGTAGCTACAATTAATTAAATACTTGAAACACTTTGGTCGTATAGTGAGCGTGAAACACATTGCTAGTTAGCGAACGTTAGCTTACCGAGTAGCGTTGAGTCGTGCTGGAGTAGTCTCTGCCGCTTTCTGCGATTGCCATAAGTCTCCCATGAGCTTCTTCTCTATTACGTCTTGCTATAAGCCGCCTTTTCCGAAAGAAAGTGTTCCTTCTTGCTGTGATAAAACACCACAGACACAGAAACAAGGAAACGATGGCATCCACATCCTCCAATGTTGCGTGTTTCGTGAGTTGTGTCGCATTGAAGATGACGTCACGGCAGTTGTATGCAGCGTCGCTCCGCCTACACTGCGTTACTATAGTAACTACCCCAGTTCCTAAACTGTAATGGAAGCGCAGCATGAAGTGAGCCGGCCCTGTTAAGGCCCAACGCGGCCAAGCAGTACCGAGCGTGGCCGAGGCCGACCGTGTGGTGGAAATGCGCAATAAGACTAGCTGGTCCATCTCCCCTCCACAGAGAAGCAGTGGAGAGTGTGGAGGACCTACGGTTCCTTGGAGTCAACATCTCCAATCATTTAACTTGGACCTCAAACCTGGTGAAAAAGGCACAGCAGAGACTGTTTTTCCTGAGGAAACTGAGACAGGCCAGGCTTCCACAAAAACTGCTGGTAAACTTCTATCGGTCGACTATTGAAAGCACCCTGACCAGCTGCATAACTGTGTGGTACACCAGCTGCAGAGTGGAAGGACCTGCAACGGGTGGTGAAGGCTGCTCAGCGCATCGTTGGGACTGAGCTGGCTTTCTTCTGCAGTCGACTTTTGTAGATGTTGCCAAGCAACCTTGGCAACATCTACAAAAGTCGACTGCAGAAGAAAGCCAGCAGTATCATCAGAGACATCACACACCCCGGCCACTCACTGTTCAAACCGCTGCCGTCCGGCAGACGGTTCAGGTCAATAAAATCCCGCACCAACAGACTGAAGAACAGCTTCTTTCCCAGAGCTGTGGCCTCCATCACTCCCATCCCTGTCCAACCACAAAACCCACTATAACTTTGAACATGCACACATAAACACACTACCTCCCATCAAAGACTGCAGCCAAAGATATCATGTTATTTATTTGTATATTTATTAAGTATCAAATTGTAGCTTTTCTTTATTAAATAATCTTTAAAAATGTATTTTAACATTCTGGTAAAGTGCATTTAATGATGATCCTGATTATTGCTACTATCTCTGCTTTATCACTGCTTTTATGGATGTGTTCTTATGTACTGCAGTGAGAGAAGCCAACTGAATTTCGTTACACTGATGTGTGATGACAATAAAGATATTCTATTCTAACGTATCACATGTAACGGCATTAGGTCATCAGGATACAAAATAGGCAAATGTGTTCCCTTACAGTTAGAGAAGCATGCATCTCTCCCCTGCTAAGAGAGTTTTCTACCGGGAGAAACTCAGCTAAAAGCTGCCTTGATTAAATGCCATGTTATGTTCCAAACTACTTCAAGCATTATTTCTGAAACAGTAGGAGCTCAAACCTTTCTCTCTCGCAGGGTTTACCGCAAGGACATTACGTTACACATATTCTCTCCAGTAGCCTACAGCATTAGCTCTGAGTGTTAGCATGCTTGCTAATGTAAACACAGACCATATTACTGTCTTGTAATTAGTAGCAGAGAAAATGTAATGTTTGTACAACTATCTACAATTAATTCTACCAATCTCGGTGGGAACCGGATTAGGGAGGGCTCGAAAATATTTCCAATTACACAAGGGGGGCCTGACTGAAAACGGTTGGGAACTACTGAGCTAGACGACTGTATACGGAGACGATAGGTTGGGACGTGTCACGTGTGCCGGAGACGATAGGTTGGGATGTGGCACGTGTGCCGGAAACGATAGGTTGGGACGTGTCACGTGTGCCGGAGGACGATAGATTGGGACGTGTCACGTGTGCCACATTTCACCAATGACGTCATAGGAGCCAAATCCTGGATCTGCTCGTTTGCAGAGATGTGGGTCAGGAGGAAAATAGAGAGGGTTGTATTTTCTGAATATTTGAGAGTCTCCTTACACACCGGGGACACATATTTATGTATAAAAGACATAAAAAAGTGCATTTTGCATACTAGGTCCCCTTTAACCTGTTACGCACGGCCCCCCCGGTACCGGGCGGATAAACGCGTCATTTGCAGGAAACAACATCTAAGGAATCTTAATATTTAATAAAACTATGAATGTTTTATATCCATGTAACGGGAAGAAACTCAGCTAACTGATCTTTTTAATTTGTTTTCTCCAAAAAAAAAACACAATGCTAACACTCAGCCTCTGAATTAGCCACGAGCGAAAACATTTAACCTAAAACGGCACTTAAACTCACAATAAATCCCTTATTACTTATCCTAGATGCACAGCTAACCACTCGTTTTTGGTGTCCTGGAGACACTGAATCTAGTGGTGCCCTCCTCAACACTCAGTGATAAACATTTGCGACGCTATAAACAAAAGCGTACATCATAACATGCGGAGCTAAGTAGCTAGAAACGCTCACATGGCTTACCTTGGTCAAAACCAGGGGCGGACTGGCCATGGACGATGTGGGCCGGTCGGATAATACACTAGCACCCCCCGTTCGTCCGTCGACTATTTCCTCGCGGTATTTTCACACCGAGGTGGGCCGCTAGGATAACTCACGTTGATAATTTACTGGGGGCCGGTCGAGAGTCCCGGGCTGATTTGTAGTCCCAGTCCGCCCCTGGTCAAAACTGGTCTTCAATGGCATTAAAACGATAAAAAAAACGATGCTGCAGTTAATCCATAGGTTCATCCAATGTATCTGTGCCCTCTTTGAAATTATTTCTGATAATCCATAAGCAATAAAACTGCTTTTTAGTTTCCAAATCCCAGAGGGACTCTGCTTTAGATTTCCATGCGCGCAGCCCCCACATTTTCTCTTTACAATGAGTGTGTATGTGGGCCTCCCCCTTCGATTCTATTGGCTCTAACGGTCAGAAAGAGGTGTCAACCATCAAAATCGACCAAGGTGGGCCAGAGATATGAAGAAAAAAAACATTTTCACCCAAATCACCTCAGAGGTGGTGTGGTTTTGGCTAAACCTCTCTAAAAAGGTCAAATGTCACTTGTTTTGCATCAATCTTGATACAGGGTACTTATTTTATGTTGTACTTTGGATTCCTAAAGCTTTTAGTCTACTAACCCATCATCCAAGGGTAGTTTCCACTATCTGTAAAAAATAATTTTTGGACAGACACTATAATTTACAGTTTTTTACTATGTAAAATCTGAATTTTCTTTAAAATAAAAAACATTTATATTGATTCTGACACTTCTACATCCAACTCACAGATGTAACCTTGCTTTGATAAAAGAAATTATTCATATAACCCTTTTAGAAGTTAGGTTGTAGTCATTTGTTTTGGGCATGTCATTTTCGAGCCTGAAACATGAAAAACAGGCTTGGTGCTTAACAGGTTAAACTGTTAAGCACCAAGCCTGTTTTTCAGGCCATATCTTTACCAAATTACCATATCTTCCCTTTTATTGGGTTAAGTACATTGTCAGAATAAGTGAGAAATGGATTTAACTTCTGTTAGACAGCTATCATACTGAATACATATTGTGAATGTATGCAAAAATGTATGGCATTCATAATTTATATCTAATTACATTAACTGTGAATGTCTTTCATTTTATTTCTAATTAAATAAAATTACATAAAAGATTTTCCATAAAAAGGTTGATTCAAGAACAAATCTCTGTTATTAGCAGTGGCGACTGGTCATTAGGGGCAGGTGGGGCACAGCCCCACCTAGTGTCAGCAGAAAGTATTACAAATAATGATTACAAAAATGCAAAAAAATAAATAAAAAAATATATAAAATATATTTTAAGATCATGTTTAATCATCTGATTCGTCTGTACATTGCTGTTTTAGTCTGTGTTCTTCTAATTAGTGTGTCTACAGTCACAGTGTGTGCCTATTGAGCTGTTTAGAGCCATGTGGGACAAAACCTGATTATGCCCCTTCCTCTCGCTGTGAAGTCAACGGTGACTGTAAAAACTTCACTGCGCATGCTCAGAGTATTTTGTAATGAAATGTGTGTGGCAAAAAAATAATGACCAGAGGGGCATGGAGCTACCATCCCCACCATACGTCATCTCAAATCATTCAGAGCTGATTGGCTGTAAGTACGTGTGCCGCGAAAAGTGTGCTGTGTGAAGAGGAGACGAGAGAGCTGCAGTGGCGCGTCCTAAAACCAGGAAGTAAGCACAAAAAAGCAATGAGATTTCTCCAGAGGATTTTAGAAAATAGCTCGAAATAAGATCTGTGGGAAACGTACCTGTTAGATGAATGCACGTTTTGATTAGCCGGATAACATCCACATGTCTACCCTACTTATATAATTTTTTTATCATAAATCTATGGATTAGATTTATGATAGACTTTTGAAACTACAAGAACATAAGGAGGACTTTTACAAAAAAGTAATAGAAATGTTTGTCCAGAAGGATAGGCAAATGGACTTCATCTTCAAGTCAAGGTAAGACCGCCATTTTATTGAAAATGGGATCTTACTAAGAGAGAACAATTCAATATTTAAATGATAAAATGACATTTTTTGGGTATCCTTTTGTTGAACTGTCTGTTTAAAATTAATCGAAGCATCAGACAAAAAAAGCTTTTGAAAATAATATTATATTTTGGTTTAGGTCAAAATATAATATTTGTAAACCTGAAGAGTCAGTGCCAGTGCCTCACCAGCCATGAACCTCACTGCACGTTTGCGTGCAACCGTTTAAGTTTAAAACTCGCGCATGCGCAGTGCATACTCCGTGGAGTGACACTCGCAGCGCAACGAGGCTCCCTCCTGTCAGATGGAGGGAGTAAATACAGGGGCAAGCTTTGGGACAAACTCCCCTCTCTCCGGCAGAAACAGGAAATGCCATAAGTGTACACTACAGTTGACCTGTTTCTGACTAAAAACATCAGCCACTACTCCAGGGGCGGACTGGGACTAAAATTCAGCCCTGGAATCTGACCCAGACCAGCCACATTCGGGGGGTGGGGGGCGGTGGAATCAGAATTTTTTTTACAATAGCCTACTATTTATGAAGTTCAAGGCAGGGGCGGCGGGTACTGTAGGCTAGGGAAGGCTAAGCCTTTAATATTTGTGTCACTGCATCCTGGTAAAATAAAAATATAATGTATAATGTTTGTGTCTTTGACATTAGCGCTGCTCTGCAGCCACCTGTGCCCTGTACTACGAAGCCAGTTCAACAGACCCTGGATATGTTTGAGTTATCTTAACTAACCCTACGACGCTGGTTATCAACTCGGTAAATCAAGCCAGGGTTTCTCTCTCCAGCTGAGAGCACGTGAAAGGGGCGGGGTTAGCTACATTTTACCGTCACAAACAGGGACAAGTGTTGGCTACTGACAGCGCGGCATCATACTTCATTAATGAAAAGTAAACTAATATTAGACAAATATGAACTTTAAACATCCATGACTTAAACATATAATCCAGGAGCCACATAGTTGCACCTGCAAGGTGAATATATAACAACTGGTTAAAAAATAAATAAACTAGGCTACCGAGTGTTTGAATGCGTACAACAGTTTTATGATATCACTGCTCCATAAGACACGAGTGGATCTGACTTTAATTACATTTGAGTTGAGTGTTTCGCCAACCTAATGTGTTGCTTAAAAGAATACTTCTGCATACAGTATATGTGACAATGTAAGTGTTGCACGGCCAGATACGG